CCGGGGCCCGCACGCCCGCGCGGCGAGCAGGAGCCGCCGTCGGAAGCGCGGGAACCCGGCCTCCCCGCCACCGGTCCCTCGCGATCCCGAAGCCGCGGCTCCCCTCACATCCAAAAAAGCCCCCCGTGCGTGGCCTCTCCATCCCAACCAGGTCCCGCGCACCGCCCTCCCTGGCGCTCTGATTCCCCAGAGTCCTGCCCGACCCCGGCCTCGGCGGTCCCTCTCCCATCGCTGCCCCATCAACCCAGACCCAGTCCCCCGTCCCACCTCTTCCCGCGTCCCAGCCCTCGTTCCTGCTCCGCTTGCTCTCCCCAAGCCTAGCCCCCTCGCTGGCGCTGGTGCCTGCTCCCCTCCAAGCCTGGGCCTCTGCCTCGAGGTAGGCCCAGCCGAGGTTTCCCCCCTACTCCGGCTCCTTCCAGAATGAACTGGCCAGTGCTGCCTCCCAACCGGCCACGGCTGGCTCCCTCAGAGTGCCTGGTGCGTAGGCAGGGCAGAGCCCTGGGTTCAAGTCACCGTGCCATTCCTGATAAGCAGTTGCTCGGGGGCAAAGCATTTCCCCGCGGAGAGCTCTCAGTTTTACCTTCTGAGAAAAGGGATAATCATTGAGGCCCTGCTTACCTCACAGGGCTATTGGCCCTAGGTTTCTGTAGCCTAAGAAACGTACGCGAACAGCTGCTATTTCGTGAGTGTACACTATGGGCCAGACACTTAACACACTCATGAGGTGTCTGTCCACAGATGGGGAGAACGGGGCTCAGAGAGGTTAGATAACGTCCAAGGTCACACAGCTAGAAAGTTGTAGACCAGGATGCAGGAGCTGGTGCCAAATTCTAAGCCTGTTGGACTCTGCCTCACTCTCATAAGTGAAGTATGGTGATGTAATTATTATGATTGCTGTAACTATCGCAGCCTGGGCTCCTGAACTCTGCCCTCATGCCATCTGTGCGGCCCAGGACTCAGGGAAGAGAACCTTCTGCTCTTCTTAGTGCCCAACTCTTGTGTGGTCCGCCACTCCAGTTTTAGCTCAGTAGGGTTCTCTTTCCCAGACTTTTCGGAGGAGAGAGGACTTTTGAGTTTAGTGCTACGGTTAATAATACCGACAACCAGGGACAACTCTTAGCCCCCCACCCGCCACGCTCCTTCCCTGCCTCCCATACCAGATCATGATGGAAGGAGCCAGAAGGGAGGTCTTGAGCCCTCCACACATGCCCCAACCAGTGTGTGTGCTCTCCCTCTTCTCTCCTTCCCCATGAAGGGAAGCCCCAGGGGGGCTCCGTGGCCATCCAGCTCCCAGGAAAGCTGTTCACTGACTTTGAGGCCTGGGACCCCCACAGACCACAGGGAAGGCGCCCCGAAATCCAGGGTCCTAAATATTGCCACTCTTCCTTCGATGCCATCACTGTAGGTAAGATGGTCCCACCTGCGCCTCGCTTCCTTTTTCCTTCCTCCCCCACATCTCCAGGGGTCTCCAGAACTGGAATACGAGGTGGGGTTATGAATAATAAATCCAGAAATCCCAAGCCACAAGCATTCTGCAGGGGTAGCAAGCCCACGCCAAGCAAAACACTGCTTCCTTCTGCGCGCCTTCTCTTTGCCCCAGCTGTGCACGCTACAGCCTCTCGCCTGAGTCTGGGAAGCTGGTTCTAGGAAAGCACCTTCCCTGGAAGGAAGGCGAGAGGCTGATGGTCGCTCCTCAACTCTCTTGTCTCCGGACAGACGGGCAACAGCGACTGTACATTTTTCAAGGAAGCCACTTCTGGGAGGTGGCGGCGGACGGCAATGTCTCAGAGCCACGCCCACTACAGGAAAGGTGGGCGGGGCTGCCCCCCCACATCGAGGCTGCTGCGGTGTCATTGGACAGTGGGGACTTCTACTTCTTCAAAGGTACCAGCCCTGGGGCAGAGGAGAAAATTGAGGCCTAGAGAAGGGAGGTGTTCTGTCCAAGGTCAAAAGAGGGGAGGGGTGTCAATTCCACTCTGAACCTGCGGCCCCAGGGAACTCTACCAGGAGGTTCCTTCAGGGATGGATTGCAGGGCATGGGCGTTGAGGTTGTCCCAGAGAGAGAGGGTGGGAGAGCTGCAGAGAAGAGTCTAGAAGGGAAGCAGAGGACCACTCCTGAGCTCTGGAATCCAGCGGGAAAGTCCTGCTTCCTTGGAATCCTGGCTGTGCGAGGTTGGGCCTGTCACTTGGACTTGAATTATCTTGAATGGGGAAAATAATCCCTCAGGTTTGTTGGGGAAGGAGGATTAAAACATAATGTCGCGAGGAGCGTGCAGTCTATTATGTGAGTAAATAGTTTCTTTCATTCATCCAACAAATACTGAGTGCCTTGGATGCACTAGACACGATTGGAGGTGTTGGGATACAGTCGTGAACAAAACAAAAATTCCTGCCCTCATAGAACTATGTGTAGAAATGGTGGTGACTGGCCTTCCCTATGGTCCACTGCCCATTCAGGGAGGGGGCCTGCTGCCCACCTCCCCTGGATGCTCCTGCTGTGCTGTCTGCCCTCTGCTGACACCTGCTGGAAGTCTAGGCCACAACAGTCCCGGTGGGACCATCTTCCCTACGAATTATTAGTACTGTGTGATCCATGTTGATGATCACAAATACTAACCACCCTGGGCTCCAACATGAGGGGGAGCACAGGTCTGGGGGGACAGGTGAGGTGGAGGACCAAAGGGTGAGAGCCACCAGCTCACCCTGGCTCTCCCGATGCCCTACAGGGAGCCGATGCTGGAGGTTCCGGGGCCCCAAGCCAGTGTGGGGTTCGCCACAGCTGTGCCGGGCAGGGGGCCTACCCCGCCACCCTGACGCGGCCCTCTTCTTCCCGCCTCTGAGCCGACTCATCCTCTTCAAGGGTGCCCACTACTATGTGCTGGCCCGAGATGGACTGCAGGTGGAGCCCTACTACCCGCGAGGCCTGCAGGACTGGGGTGGTGTCCCCGAGGAGGTCAGCGGCGCCCTGCCACGGCTGGACGGCTCCATCGTCTTCTTCAGAGATGACCGCTACTGGCGCCTTGACCAGGCCAGACTGCAGGCGACTGCCTCGGGCCGCTGGGCCGCAGAGCTGCCCTGGATGGGCTGCTGGCACGCCAACTCGGGGGGCTCCCTGTTCTGAAGATGCACCAATTGCAACAATTCACCCCTTAGTGAGTTGTTGGTGCCCTTGTGGCCAACGTGTGTCCCCTGCCCCAGGAACGGGACCTGCCTTGGAAGCCTCCGAGCTTCCCTGCAGAAGACCAGACAGGAAAGTTTGCGTGTGTTTCCTGGAGAATTGCTTTGTGCTCTTAAGACACTGATCTTTGTGGGATCAGTCCAAGGAGAAGCCAAAAAGGGTCTCAAACCCCCCAGCCCTTTCCCAAAGGACTCTCCTCCCCAAGCCTCAGGGATTTTGTTTCTTCTGCTAAAGGTGCACTTCCTGTCCATGAGGCAACAGCACTGGGCGGCCAGGGAGGATGCAAAACTCAATGGAGAGGTTGGGACCACTTTGCAAGACTGTCTCCTTCTCCTCAGGACCTCCCTGGCTCAGTTTTTGGAGAATTGTGTCTTTTTAAATGAGAAGCCTCACTTCCAGGAAGCTTGGGTGGGTTGGGTACAAGGATTTCCAACCTCAGAGAGCCGTGGGGGTCGGGGTGGGGGGTCAGGACCCAGAGCAAGAGGGAGACTGAAGCAGGCCTGCTGGGCCCCACTGGAATAAAGTGGTGCCCCCAGCTGGTGGGCCCGGAAGCAGGCATCAGCCTTCCTTGGCATGGTTTCCAGTGAGAGCACGGATGCTGGAGCGGCTGGAACAATGTTCTTTCCCGTCCAAGCCAAGACTACAGACTGTGTGTGAGTCATCGTGATGGGGAGAGGTGGCCCGAAAAAGCAAAAAAGCTGGAGAGCCATGGGTGGCAGGGAGAGGGTGGGGGCCTCTCTGGAGGGCTGCACTGCTGCAGGCGCTGGGGTCCCTGCCGGCTGGGGGAGGCCTCGTGCTCACAATGGCCCCATTCTTCAGGCCACACACGCAGCGTTCCAGGAGCTGGATGGCTGGCCAAGAATAGCTGGGATTCCTGGAGAAGGAACCAGCTCTCCAGCCTCTCTCTCTTCTGCCTCAGCCAGTCTCAGCTTTTCAGCACCTGGTTCTCTTGTCCTCCCCCCACCCCCACCCCCCACACCTGCCAGTGCCTCATTTGCACAAACACTGCAAGACCTGGCTTCCAGGGGAAGGGGAGAATGATCTAGCAAGAGTAAGCCCTCAGCTCCCCAGGGGCATTCCTGGCCCTCAGCCTTCATTTTCGGGGGAATGGCCTTTGACTGACCTTGGATGCAAGTGCTCTGTTCCACCCTGTCCTGGGGGAGATGGAAGGAGGCGGCGCTCCGCCTGCCCTTTTCCCTCCGACGTGAACCCCGGGGAAGGCGAAGGAGGGTCTTTATCCCCCTCAAGGGAGCCACCTGGCCCCCACCTCAAGGCTCTGACATTTTGCTTAGAGGCTTTATTGAGTGACTGGAGGGGCAGGGGCAGGTTTCTCAGCCGTGAGGGAGCCCAGGGGTTAGTTTCTCTAGGCGATGCCTCCGCGCACTGGGCCAGAGGACCTGAGCTACCCCGGAGATGAATGTGAGGCTGTGCCTGGGGCGCGAGTCCGGTGGGCGGGAGGCACTGGGTGCCGCCGGGACGGGAGCCCTCGGGAGGCGCTCATGGAGGCATGGAGCCCCAGGTGACGTTGGGCTCAGCCTTGCGTGGGCGCTGGGTGACAGGTGGGCAGGCCCATGGCGACCGTGGGCCGGCTTGCGGGCTTGGAGGAGGCGCTCTGGGAAGGGGCACTTCTGGAGGAGGTGGTGGCGGGGAGGCTGGGGTCAGGCGAGGACAGAGGGCACAAAGGCTGGCGGCGGGGGCGCTCAGGGGCACCCGGCGGCCCCCGCGCCCCCCGAGCGCCCCGAAGCCCGCACCTTCCGCAGATCCGAGTGCTCGAGAAGGCAGTGCGCCACGTAGGCCGGGTGGCTGTGCAGGTTCCTGCACTTCTTGCAGAAAAGGAGCTCGCAGCGCGCACAGCCCCCGGCGCGCGGCGGCCGGCGCCGCGTCTCCAGCACGCACGGCGGC